AGCCCAGGATGTGGTTGGCTTTCTGGGCTGCGAGCTGTGTTCTGGTTTTCCTCGTAAATAGCAGCCTGGAGCAAGGAAATAAGAAGGGACTGAAAGCAAATCACAGCCCTTTCCCAGTGCACAGGGCTCTTTGGAGCTCAAAGGGCTCTCCTGCAGTCAGCGCAGGTGGGTCTGGGTGTGAATTCACATGCGGAAGGAAGGGACTTACTTCCAAGAGAAGTTTTCCAGCTTCCACTGGGTCTGAAACAGGGAAATTCTGTCACCACCCCTCTGGGCTGGAAGCAGGCACAGTCAAGCTCTGAATTTACCATCCCAGGCTATGGACTGACAGACGTTTTCAGAGACAACCCTAAGGACTGCTCCATTCCTGGGGTAGTGACTGTGCCCAATGATGTGGTTATAATTCCCTTAGCTTACAAAAGAGATGAGCAGCATGTAATGGGCCGCATCCTGCAGGACTTGCTTTCCCGACCTGCTACCTTCAACAGCACAAGTGTGTTCCCTAAATGGCTCCAAAACTTGATCCCAAACAAACACAGAGCTAAAGAGGAAAGCTTTTCTATTACATTAAAATCTCGAGTAGTTTTCTACCAACACGGTGGCACAGATGGGGAAATGCCATTCCCTGCTGGTGTTCTCTTCAGTAACTGAGTTCGGAGATGTCTGTGACCGTGGTGCTGTAGATTCTGGTCTCCCACTCCAAGAGCTGTTTCACAAAGCCTTGGTGTGGTCTCATGTTCGTTTTGCACTTCAGGACGTAGTTCCAAGCGCGCTATGAACAGGAGGGAAGCAAGAAAGCATTAGGAATCGGAACTGAATCTCAGGGATTCACATGAAGCAGCTACACTCGTAGACAACACGGCCTTGTATGAACTCCCTGTGTTGAGTGTAAGAACCTGCAGGTAAGACTTCGGCTACTAAAGCAGGGACACAAAGATTCAGGTATGAGCTTCAAGCAAAGCATGTCGCCTTCACACGCTGCTCTCCTGGGTAGGAGGACATCTCAGGCTGCTTTCACTCCCCATTAGTTTACACTGATGGAACGTTGCAGTCCTGGGTTTTCTACCCTAAAACTCTCTTTCTTCCATGGATGATAAGCAAAGCAGTGAACTATCAGCTATTCACAAGTAAGCCACAAAGGTTATCATGTTTCTGGACTGGTCTGATCTGATGTGATAGAGCAGCTATGACACTCCATTTGTCCCTCTGAACTGATTACAGCCATCAATTTGTTAGTTCCAAGTAATCACCTCGGAACTCTGTTACACACAGGGTAAATCCCCTGGGATCGCAGTGTTCTGCTTCAGCTGCATCCTTGGCTTTATCCATCCTCTTCCTGCTTTTAAAACAGACTGGCCCCCACACTTGGAGGATTGCTTAAGCCTAATGAGACCAAAGGTTAGAAGATAATGCTCCATTGGTTTGTTTTTCTAATCTCAGTGATTCTGCAGGCTCCAAGGCTGCTCTTCCAATATTTACTCCTCTGAGCCCACAGCATGGAAGTCTCTAGTTCCCCTGAACTCAACAGATCTACTCACATATCGATTACTAATCGAATAAGGGCTCGCACGTCCCAAATCTGTCTGTCTTTTGCAACATTGGAGCCTTTGGAAGCTTTCAAAGATCTTTGGCTAGAGACTGGCTGAAGGATCACATGGGAATCTATTGCACTGTTTTCGTCTGCAAGAAACAAACTTGTCTGCCAGGGTAATCCCTCAGGAAAGCTTTTCCCAGCCAAGCACCACCCCGGCCAGCTGCAGCACACTGCTGCCAGGTCAACCTTTCCTCCTTTTTGGCACTTGGTAAAATGCTGACATCAACCTGTTGATACCAACCAAGGGACATCTGCAAGGATCAGCCTTTGACTTTGGCACTGCAGTAACACAGCGTGCAGGCGAGTGGTTATCAGCACGCAGGAGCAATCACACCCCACGTTAGCAGCACTGGCTGCAGCCCTGCTGGCACGCTCAGCCTGAAATTACCCCTTGGCACACAGCAGTGGGTAAAAGATTTCCCCTTATGTTGCAAATGTTTGCACAAGACCAATGAAATGATTAGATATAGGCCCAGCTTTGATGGAGATTGGATCAATCCTTTCAGGCTCCCAAAGGAGGAAACTTTTCCAAACAAGGAGAAGGCTTTTAAGGAGATGCTTTTCAGTTCCCATGGGAACTAGCTGGCTCTGTGTTAAGCAGGCACCACCGGATGGTGCCTGTGGAAGCATGATGCCCAAGTGTTGTATGAAAAGGGAAGAAGAGCCTGGCACCAGGGGTGAGGCCACCAGGCTAAAGCCAGGTCACTCTCAGCCATCATTCATTATTCTTCTTATGTTATTCAGGGTTATGGAGCAGCATGTACCGGCCATCTAACCTGTATATCCCTCCTGAGCTAGTATTATCCCATTCCAGGTTTCTCTACAGTAGTATCTGTGCAAGGGGATTGCTTCTGGAGAAGTAAAATAGGATTTTGGAAGAAGTCAGTGGTGAATCAGAGCCCTGCAAGCACTGCGTTCCCAGTTTCCCTGTAACCCCATGGAGTTAAGGGATGGGATTAACTCCAGCAGCTTCCAGAGCCTGTCTTTCTCAGATCCAGGAGAGCAGAAATCCTAAGTTCTGTAACCACAGCTTTATTTTTATAGCCCCATAGTTAAGTAGGGAAATGTAAGAATATCAGAGGTGCCAGGATAAGGACTCACAGATCCAGAATCACACCTGAGCCACCTCCCTAACGGTATAAAGAAGATGCAATCTCATGTAATGTAATCTGTTACATTATCAGGTGGAGTGCCTGCATAGAAGCACAGATAATGTCTCTCTTATTACTGCATTAACGAGGCTACAGAAGCAGAAATAAACTGCAGACCCAGCCAGTACCTCTGGGAAATAAACCAGTGATGTACCTTCAGGGAAAACAGGCAGGAATGAATAAGATAGGCCATGATTCCTGTGCTGCTCCGGCTTATCCCCAGGCTGGAGAACACCAGCACTGCTCCGTGATCCAGCTGAGCATCTGAGGAAAGAAATGCCAATCACAGATTAGTGATCTGGGAAATCAAGCTTCCAGCAGCCAAGCACTAACTCAGTGACAGCCGACAGGCTCTCAGCCTGAGCGACAGGACCTCAGGAACCCTGACAGCAGCAGATGGGCACTGCCAGCTCCTGTTCCTGGAAGCATTTGCCTGAGTTAAGACGTGGCTTTGAAGACCAGAACTGGATGGCAATGACCAGTCAATGCTTTCTTACACATCAGTGTCACCTTTCCATCAGGTAACTGAAGGAGAGTGGTCCACCATGACCAGTCAGCTCGGTCAGCACCACATCACCTCCTCAAACTCTCCCCAGAAAGGTTTAAAGGTATTGAAATTGCTGATGAACGCAAGCCTAACTGTTGTCCACTCAAGCTGGAGGACTCAGCTCTCAATCTGGAGGGGACTTAGACTTCAAATCCCTTACCCTTCTACAGGGATCACTAGCAAGAAGCGTGTATGTGCCAGCTGGGGAGCTGGTTTTATGATGTTCACTTTGCAGTGGAATTTGCTAAGATCAGCAAACTCATCTTCTACAAAAGCTAAGCCCAAGGATGCTGTCAGTCACTCCTAACCATGTTAACTCAATAACCTTTTGATTTCTTCCCTTCCCTCTCCAGAGCAGGCAGCATGGCATGTTTTTATCAGCAACTGAACTCTAGAATTCATAGGGCAAAGGTTCTTCTGTTACTGCTGTGAAGAGGTTGTGAGATTTTGATTACGTTTTAAGCACCAAACCAGTGTTTTATAACTTCTTTCTATCATGAGATAGTAGTTCTGTCCTAAGCCCTGAGTAGAAATGGCCTCACTCCAACATACACCTGGCATGAGGATATCCACACTCCTCTCAGAGTATGTGGAAAGCTTTAGTGTAGTGTTCACCCATATCAGCTTAAGTGATTTACTTTAGACTATCAAGTGAACAGTTTGACCATCAAGTAAGCAGCATACACTTCCACAAGAGCTGAACTCATAAAGTCTTTCTTCTGAAATACTATGGGGAAAAGACCTGGGGCAAAATGAAAGGCAAGGAAGTGGATTTTGGTATTTGGGTTTCAACGCATGTGAATCAGTTCAGAAGTACAAAATCAAATCCTCAGATATCATTTCCTTATTCCTCTCTTTGTGCCCAGTTGTCATTTCTTACATTGGATAATAAGGTCTGTGGGGACAAAGTAGTCTTTTGCTTCTGGGTCTGTCCAATGCTCAGCTCAGCAGGGCCTTGGTGTTATTTCATGAGTGTGATAAAAGATAATGACAGGGTTGGACACAATGACAGGAGGGAGCTGTGGGAGCTGTGTCTGCTGTGCTGCTGTGGGCACTGAGCTGGAGAGCGTGTCTTTTCTTGCCCTCTCTGATGTAATCAGCCGGAGGCAGGTTTATGCCATCCAACCTGAAAGTCTTCCCAGGCCCTACAGTGGGTCTACTCTGCAAACACAAAGATTGTGGTGACTTTTTTAATGTGTGTCACTCCCTGGTTCAAGTAAAGCTCTGGTGGCTGAAGGTTTGGACTGGTAAAAGCCAAAAGTTGTCCAGTGGGGTGTGGGCTTTCTTGGGAGCATGCTGATTTTGAAAGACTCCAACCCTTCTGTCTGAGCTTCCCATTCAAGTGAATCACAGTCGCTCCCATCTAATATCCTAGAGTGAGCAAGGTCTCAGGAATCCCAGAGCAGGAACAACTCACCTATGAAATGACAAATGGTGGCAAAGGAAGAAAGAAGATCTGCTTCAAGTGTATCTGGAACAGATATATGGAGGTATCTGTCGCTGCCTGCAAACCTGGAAAAAGAGCACATTGTGTGATATGGACCAGAGAAGCAGCTTTGAGAAACATGTTTGTTGGAGGCAAGCTGACAATTGTCTTTGCTGTTACATGTGTGAGCTTTTCATCATAGTCATCATTAACATTACGATAAGGGATTTATTATGATAAGACACCGATACTTGTAATAGAGAAACAGTTTAATTACTCATTTTCCATTCCACATGGTGACAGCACTGGTATCTTAGCTTAATCTACAGCTTCCTTATCTGAGAACCATCAGTAATATAGCTTTGGCACTGGCGTGTTTGTAAGATTTTGCTCTGAAAGCTATTCAGAGATGTAGGTTCTTTGTGAAGGATGGTAGAAAGTGACAGACTCGAAATGCCAAGGGCCTCCTCTCACTCCATCCACCCATGTCATGGTGGAGGGCTGCAGGACCGCATTGCTGCTGTGCTGTCTCTGGAGTGGAGATCAGAAACAAGAGCATGACACAGCTCTGAAATCCGCAGCAAACAACAGAGGCTTCCCTGGAAGTCCCCAGGCACTGACTCCTCTGAGAATGGGCTCTGGTGCTGTGCCACCTCCCTCCTTTCATGGCGCAGACACTGGTGAGGGTAAGGCACTATCGAACTTACAGTGTTGCAGGTTGTTCAGAGATGTTGACTTGTGCTTTGATCTTCAGGTCTTTCTGTATTTGTTGGTCACAGGCCTGCTTGAAATTGCCCATATATAACTTTGCAGGCAGTATTTCTACAGGGTATGTCTGGAGGCTGGCTAGTTCCTGCCAGAGAGAAACCATTGGCTCAGTTCAGAGAGTGTATTTGCTCCCATTAGCTTGGTAAGTTCTTAAACGTAAGTCATGTGAAGAGCTGAGCACACACTTAGTCAACAGCCCATGACACCTTCTACTATAGTGACTCATTCAATCACCTGGACTTTGTGTATATCAAAGTCTTTGTTCGATTTACTGAGAGTCATTAACGGCATTGCTGTCATTGTGGCGTTGCTTGAAACAAGCCCTAACTAAACAGGAGTCTTTCTGTTGTCTGGGGGTACTGCAGCGTAACAGACTCATCTCATGTTCTCCCTGGTTACTGTTTGCAAGGCTGAATGGAATCATCTGCCACCTGCAGAGCTGCAGGTGCCCTGGAGTGGCATGACACAAGGGTGCAGCTGCAGCCTGTGTCTGCGTGTGAAGGCTGAGTCCCCAGCAGTGCCTCTACATCCCTAACTGATACTTGGCCGATGCTACAGCAGAACAAAGCAGCAGCCTAACAATCCAAAGCAACAGAGAACAACAGCTTAAACTGAGAGGCAAGGGGGTACTCTGTGTCCAACTCAGTCTGATGGGGAAGTTCAGCAGTGTGCTACCCTTCAGAGAGAAGCATAAAGCAAACTGATTTTCAATGCTGTGCTGCAGCATCCCACAGGTTAGCAGTGTATCGTGGCCACTTCATGTGAACCAGAAGTGACTAGGAACCACAGAAACAAAAGACATGTTGCAATGAGGTGCTCTCTGCTGTACAGCACCCTCTAAATCTGTTCTGCCTTGGGTGTGAAAAGAGGGTAATTGTTTCTCATAAGCTAAATAGGTCAATGTCTCTAGGTGAAACCAAACAATCAGGACACGGGTGTTCCAGTGGATGGCTGTTTTCTTTCTGGGCCTGTTGAAATGTTACAGCAGCACTTGGTTTGTCGTCCTTCCCAATGAAAAGCTTTATAGACTTGGAACACGGTGCTTGATAGGAATTGTGCTTCTACCTGAAAACATGTACTGTGCACCAGCCCCAACAGCCACATGTGAGAGAGGAACCTGCCTCTTTTCATCATTTACTACTGTTTGTTTAGTTATCTGTACTCTCCAGTAGGCCAGTTTTGGGGTTATCAGAGAAACCTTCCCAGGTTGTTCGCATGAGCAATAGAAGAGGAAAGAAAGGCAAAGTGGGGCTGTAAAAGAATCAGTAGTGAGACTCAGGGCAAGCACAGCCACTCAAATGGCATTGAGTTCCTCCATTTGAAATGACTCTGGTATGAGGTTTACACCACCATTTAAATTGAATTCATTAACCATCACCAGCTTAATATGAATGCTAATGTCTTCTACTTGCAAGTTAGTCTCGTCTCACCCGGGGCATCCACAGGATCCTCTGAGTCCTCAGAAAATGATAGCAAGCTGAAAACTTCTTGTATCCTCCCTGCAGGACGAGCACGGGGTGGCGGGTGAACTGCTCTAAGCCTTTGGCATAGTGGATGGCAGTTCCTTCCTCGGCATCTAATGAGATCAAAAAGCTCTTTGGCAGGTTCAGAGCATCTCCATCAGTGCTGGGGGTTACCTCTGCCCCACTGACACCCACAGCAAATTCATTCTCATTTCATCTAGTGCTCCAGAGAAAGCCTTTCTAAAAGCTAGACTTACTCTATAACTGTTGCTGCAGGTCAGTAACAGGGCATGCTGCTTGTCACCTCTTGTTCTGATCTTTTATTCCTCTCCTGGATTCTTCTGTAGGTCTAGATAAAAGCCTTCCCCCCCCCTCCCCATGATTCATTGGGAAACGCTTGTAATAAGTTCCCATAATAGGGAAGTATTATCAATTTAGCTCTATTAATGTTAGTTTTATGGAGGCTTTTTTCTTTAATCTGCTTTAGGCAAAGGGAGAGAGAAGGAGGTATATTGAATAAATTCTTCATGTTTTAAACACTCCCCTCAGTGAAGTAAATTATGTGAGATGATTGTTCCCACTCTTTCTCCCAAGGGATCCATCCCCCTTGCTTCTAGCTATGTCTGATTTGGAAACAGATCAGCACAACAGAACCCACTTCTCAGTCTTCACACCTTCCCTTGCTACTGTCTCATCACTGAGCAGTTACGAACGCACTTGCTTTTATTCATTCCCTTTACACTCCCATGCTTTTGTCTTTAAAAATCTTTACTAAAACTATAGTCACCTTTATACAGCCAAATAGGAGCCAAACAAACACACAGAAGTGGTTCTGCAAACAGCAGAACTCCTTGCCAAAGGATGTGTGCAAGCTAAACATTTCCACGGTTCAAGGAAGGCTGAACAATTACATGGTAGATTTTCCAGCTCTTCACATTTCTCAGTGAACTCCATCAAATCACCACCCCCATTATAAAGCAAAGTCTTTTTAAATATGATGGTGGGAAAGCCTTTTGTAACCCTCAAAGAAGGAAGTACTCACTCTGTGATGACGTGGAACTTGAGTCAGAAAAACTGCTTCCTGAAAGGCAAGGACAAGCCCAATCTCAGTGAAATGTGGGGGAAAAAAGAACCCATTCCTCACATGTGATAAGAGGCTTTAGAGGGATCGGTCTACAGATAGGAAACCAGGCCTGCCAGGATGCTTTGGAAGAAAATCTGCATTTTTGAAGCCTAAGAACATACATAAGACAGTGAAAAACCAGAGGCATAGCACAGATGTTCGTTTCTCAAATAAAACTGGGTACATTTGCATCTCCTCCAATAAGCTCGTGAAATTAAATGAGGAATGGGAAGAACATCTATCTGGCAGCGAGGTCTTGACTAACATGGGTCACACGTACCTTTTTCCTCATCAGAGTCAGCACAATCCAAAGAGCTGGTCTCACAGTCATACACCACACAGTATCTGACACACGCCAGCTCCTCTGAATCCGGGACCAGATACTTCCCCGTAGGACTCTACCAAAATCACAGAGGAATTCTATCAGGAGCACAGCTCCACTCTTGTCCTGTGGCATCAACACTACTGACATTTTGTAAGATGCTACTACATAGCTAAGTGCCCTGGGCTTAAACCACGACACTATGGGACAGATCTGGGGCTGTGTCTGTGCTTGGCACTGAAAGACCCAGATAGAATTCAGTAGTGATGCAAACTACACCGGATTGCTTCATCAGCCGCAGCAGCAGCAGCAAAGACGCCAGCACTTTGTCCTTCGTGACACAAGGCTACAATATCTTAGTTCTTGTGCAATGTTCTTCCTGACACACAGCTCCTGATGCCAATGCTTTGGGCTACTGGGGCCGCCTGTGCTTTGTGACAGAATACAACCCCCCAGTGGCAGAAGTGGAATATGGCTGGAGCAGGCAGGGACAATTCCCATGGGTTTTAAGCCAATTTTGGCTCACTGCTAATCGCTAAACCCAGGGATGGTTCACACAGACTCACCTGTGCAATCCTGCGGGCTGTAATAATATGGCTCTCATCGTATTCACGCTGAGTGCGGACATCTGAAAAACAAACCCAAACAGCCAATGCAGAGCAATCGGTGTATTTGCTGCTGAAAGGTTGAATCCCGTTTGTAATTCACCCAGTGGGAATTCAGGCACTGACATCAATGGGAAACTGAGACTTTCTATGTGGATATAACGAACACCAACGCTGGTGAGAGTCTATGTGCAATGCCATATGTTACGTCCGGGTCATGAACATCCCAGAGGTGGGAAGAGGAGCACCCAGCCCCACTCCCAAACTGGCTGACTCCCTCACTAAAGCATTTAATATTGCAATATAAGTCACCCTTGGGGGGGGGTGGGGGGTGTGTTATTGGCAGCATGTAAGATTCAAATGCTTGTGGGCGATCTTTGTGCAATGGTCAAGAAATCTTGTCCACCTCTACAACCCGTAGAGGGTTGTATCGGTGTATCCCTGGGACGGATCAGAGCAGGAAGAGCTGTATGTGACGACAACCAGAGAGTACCATGTCATGGCACCTGAAACACCCCAACTGCAAGCCCATAGTAGTAACAAGAAGCAACATATGCTCTTGCCCACGGTCGGAGCCTGCAAACCCCACTGGCTCAGGCTGGAGCGTGGTGCCTGGCTGCAGGTGCAGTGTGTCGGTGTGAGTGTGTCGGTGTCAGCCTGTCGGTGTCAGTGTGTCAGGCAGCGGTCCCCGGGCTCACCCAGCAGGCAGAGGTAGT